CTATGTAACAAATCGATCAATATTTAGAACTAGTGTGGAGATATAATGCACCAAATCTTTATTCGTTTTCAAAAGGTAAAGGCAAAGTATGTCAGAGAGCTTTAATGTTGGTAGAGCGTTGTTACTAACAGACAACTGGTAATAATATTTGTTTGCATATAAATAAACGTAGTAACGTCGTTGTTACTGTAAGTTAATGTCAAACGTAAATGAAAGGTAACTTCAAATGCTCCTACCTTACCTGTTATACTTCATAAATAGTGCATGAGAATGTAAACATCAAATTAACCAACTGTCATCTCTTTCCTCTTTTCTTTTTGCTATACTTTGCACCGTTTCTTTCGCACTAGGGAATCTGGTTGGTTGTTGTAAATTTTGAGTTGTTGTTATGCTTATTTTATGCTTGATTCGTGTTCTAAATGATATTTGTTTTTTTTTTTTTTTTTTTTTTTTTTTTTTTTTTTGGGTGAAGAAATAGATATGTCTTTTGTTTTGAGGTGTTTTAATATTTTATTTTGTAAAATAAAACAAAATTACCTTACTTTTTGTGTCAATGTGTTGCAGTGTTAATGTTTCCACTTTAGATTTGTTTCCGTTTGGTTTTATTCACCTCTGTGATTGCTTAGGTTTCACTTCTTTCCATAGATTTTTTTTGACGGCATTATTGTGTATTCCAATATAATGATTTGTTCCTTCTTTATGTCCATATTAGCTTTATAAATTTTGTTTGACGTACCAGCATTCTTTATTAATTCTAATTTAATAAAATAAATTCTTTCTTGCCGACACTAAACGACTATCACTTGTCAAATAATATTTTAATTATTGTTCAACCTCTTTTGCAACCCACACTGACCATGTGGTTCAAGAAGAAATTCTGCTGGCTTTACAAGAGCTTAATGATACTACAAATATGAAATTGTTGTTGTAAAAAATGAGTACGCATGTGGTTACTGCAGCTGATGGGATAACATGTGCGCTCACTGATATGAGATCAATGCGTTTAGTTTTATTCCTCTGCTAAGGAATAACAACAATGTGATATCCAATCTGATGAATGTATGGAGAGCAATGACTGAGGCTTACTTAGCGACAGCGCTGTTGGGTATGGTGTTTAGTCGACAGAAGAGAAATGTATGTATGCGGTCTCCTTTAACAGCGACTGCGCCGTTTGATGTTAATGGCAACCAAAAATGAGTCTGGCGTACTTAACACTGTTAAGTTCTCAGCGACTCTGTTTGTGTTTGCTGCTCTTAAAGGAAGAGAGTATGTCGTTTGGTACTTCTAACAGTCGCCGTACCAATTTTTATTTTTGATGATTAAGAGTATGAGTTTTTTTTACCTACAGATAGAGCAGTTGCCTAATTAAAGATTAATGCGTTTCAATTCCTCCAACAACCCAATATGTTGTTGGCTGTTGTTTATTGTCTTTCACTTTTTTCTTTTTATGTGCAAAGGTGCTGTTATCCGTAATGTAATGACGAAGCGAATATTTTAAAGCAAATTAGAGGAATTAGATGCTGCTGCTATTGAGTCTGTTTTCAGAGCTCGATAAAGAGACAGTAATAGCGAAAAGCCGTAGATGAATAAATGAAAAAAAGACTACAAGAACAACTCCTGTTGTGAAATGATCCACTGGGCAGCAATAAAATTATGAAGAGTATTTTGTTATATACAAGTGGATGCAATATATGTTGCGTAATTTAAGCGGATAAGCAAACTGAAATTATTTGGTTTGCTCTTTCAATTGTATTTGCGGATGTATTTTTTTTGCGGGCCAACTTGTATCTTTACAAAAAGAAAGTTGACTTCAGCGACTTGGACATTTGTGGTTATAAATTGTAACAATAGTTCAAACTCACTTTTTTGTGTGAATTCAAACATCAACAAGAAACAAAACCCTATGTGCTCACAAATTAATAACAATTTACATACCCTTTATCCATGTCTTAATGAACTTCTTCTCCAGGAAATCTTCGAGTAAAGCGGTGGACGTAATCCGGATAATTTAAAAAACTTTCCAATTCCTTAGAGGCTCGAAGGACCATGTACAATCGCGGGAGTTGGCCGTGGAGAATGGACTGTAGCGGTGTAAATATTTGCGGTGGTAACTCTTGTGATTGTAATTGATATTTAGAAAAGAAAAAGCAATTGATTTTTTAAGCGGTGGAGCAAATAGAATTTTATTCTTGTTCTGAACGGTTTGACTGCTTTAATCCAAGTAATAGAAAAATGGCTGTGCAGATTGTGCATCAGACATTTTATAAATATGTAACAAAAGGTATTGAATACAAGAAATGGTAGCCTGAACCATTGAGTGAAAACTTAAAGGGTTTTAAGGTTGCCATATTTTGACGGTTATCTTACGTTTAGATTTGAATTCAATGTGATTTATACTTAAGCTATTTTAAATGCAATTATAATTCAAGATATTTAAACGATTTGCTTGGAGTTCATTATACTTAATACTACGTTGTTGAACGCGGTTCAACAGAGCTTCTCAAGGGAACGTGGATTTTTTAAAAATATTTTTAGAAGCTTCTCAAATGAACGTGGATTTTTTTAAAAATATATTTTGGAGCTTCTCAAGATAACGTGGATTTTTTAAAAATATTTTTTGAAGCTTCTCAAATGAACGTGGATTTTTTTAAAAATATTTTTTGGAGCTTTTCAAGATAACGTGGATTTTTTAAAAATATTTTTTGGAGCTTCTCCAGGGAACGTGGATTTTTTAAAAATATTTTGTGGAGCTTCTCAAAGGACTTCAGAGGAACGTGGATTTTTTAAAAATATTTTTTAAAGGCCCTCAGAGGAACGTACATTTTTAAAAATATTTTTTAAAGGCCCTCAAAGGAACGTGGTTTTTTAAAAATATTTTTTAAAGGTCCTCAAAGGAACGTGGATTTTTTAAAAATATTTTTTAAAGCTCCTTAGAGGAATGTGGATTTTTTAAAAATATTTTTTAAAGGTCCTTAGAGGAACGTGGATTTTTTAAAACTATTTTTTAAAGGTCCTCAAAGGAACGTGGATTTTTTAAAAATATTTTTCAAAGGTCCTTAGAGGAACGTGGATTTTTTTAAAAATATTTTTTAAAGGTCCTCAAAGGAACCTGGATTTTTTTAAAAATATTTTTTAAATGTCCTTAGAGAAACGTGGATTTTTTAAAAATATTTTTTAAAGGTCCTTAGAGGCACGTGGATTTTTTAAAAATATTTTTTAAAGGTCCTTAGAGGCACGTGGATTTTTTTAAAAATATTTTTTAAAGGTCCTTAGAGGCACGTGGATTTTTTTAAAAATATTTTTTAAAGGTCCATAGAGGCACGTGGATTTTTTTAAAAATATTTTTTAAAGGTCCTCAAAGGAACGTGGATTTTTTTAAAAATATTTTTTAAATGTCCTTAGAGAAACGTGGATTTTTTAAAAAATATTTTTTAAAGGTCCTTAGAGGAACGTGGATTTTTTAAAAAGATTTTTTGGAGCTTCTCAAGGGAACGTGGATTTTTTAAAAATATTTTTTGGAGCTTCTCAAGGGAACGTGGATTTTTTAAAAAGATTTTTTGGAGCTTCTCAAGGGAACGTGGATTTTTTAAAAATATTTTTTGGAGCTTCTCAAGGGAACGTGGATTTTTTAAAAAGATTTTTTGGAGCTTCTCAAGGGAACGTGGATTTTTTAAAAAGATTTTTTGGAGCTTCTCAAGGGAACGTGGATTTTTTAAAAATATTTTTTAAAGGTCCTTAGAGGAACGTGGATTTTTTAAAAATATTTTTTAAAGGTCCTTAGAGGAACGTGGATTTTTTAAAAATATTTTTTAAAGGTCCTTAGAGGAACGTGGATTTTTTAAAAATATTTTTTAAAGGTCCTTTGAATAACGTGGATTTTTTAAAAATATTTTTTAAAGGTCCTTAGAGGAACGTGGAGTTTTTAAAAATATTTTTTAAGGTCCTTAAAGGAATGTGGAGTTTTTAAAAATATTTGTTTAAGGTCCTTAAAGGAATGTGGATTTTTTAAAAATATTTTTTTAAGGTCCTTAGAGGAACGTGGATTTTTTAAAAATATTTTTTAAAGGTCCTTAGAGGAACGTGGACTTTTTAAAAATATTTTTTAAAGGTCCTCAAAGGAACGTGGATTTTTTAAAAATATTTTTTAAAGGTCCTCAAAGGAACGTGGATTTTTTAAAAATATTTTTTAAAGGTCCTTAGAGGAACGTGGACTTTTTAAAAATATTTTTCAAAGGTCCTTAGAGGAACGTGGATTTTTTAAAAAAAAATTTTAAAGATCCTTAGAGGAACTTGGATTTTTTTAAAATTATTTTTTAAAGATCCTCAAAGGAAGGTGGATTTTTTAAAAATATTTTTTGGAGCTTCTCAAGGGAACGTGGATTTTTTAAAAATATTTTTTGGAGCTTCTCAAGGGAACGTGGATTTTTTAAAAAATATTTTTTGGAGCTTCTCAAGGGAACGTGGATTTTTTTAAAATTATTTTTTAAAGATCCTCAAAGGAAGGTGGATTTTTTAAAAATATTTTTTGGAGCTTCTCAAGGGAACGTGGATTTTTTAAAAATATTTTTTGGAGCTTCTCAAGGGAACGTGGATTTTTTAAAAATATTTTTTGGAGCTTCTCAAGGGAACGAGGATTTTTTAAAAATATTTTTTGGAGCTTCTCAAGGGAACGTGGATTTTTTAAAAATATTTTTTGGTGCTTCTCAAGGGAACGTGGATTTTTTAAAAATATTTTTTGGTGCTTCTCAAGGGAACGGGGATTTTTTAAAAATATTTTTTAAAGGTCCTTAGAGGAACGTGGATTTTTAAAAATATTTTTTAAAGGTCCTTAGAGGAACGCGGATTTTTTAAAGATATTTTTTAGAGGTCCTTAGATGAACTTTCATTTATTAAAAATATTTTTTAAATGTCCTTAGAGGAACGTGGATTTTTTAAAAATATTTTTTAAAGGTCCTTAGAGGAACGTGGATTTTTTAAAAATATTTTTTCCTCCCTTTCAGATCTCATTACATTACCGGCAAAAATCAAGATGATCTCTGGGATCTGCTGGAACATTTGGCCAATTCGACATATATGAATTTCGACGACATCCCCAATCATAGTAGCCTGGAACGTACCCTAGATAAGCTGCAATTGAAACCGAATAAATATATGGAATTAATCTACAATCTAACGGTGGATCATACCCTTAACCCGGTGGATAAGTTGAGGATACGATGCATCGACAATGATGAATATATCCATTCGAGGCAAGTTCTTACCGAATATGGTCTGTGCTATTTGACAAATAATAACATCGATGATCGTTATTCGTCGAAATATTTGTTGTTCGGTGAAATGCCAGAACCCAATGAATATGAAATTAAACATAATGTGCGAAGAATTCAAACCGGCTCGTATCCGGATAAATATATTGATTTCAATTTCATTGGTTTCCAGTCGCCAATTGATGTGAGTTTTGTTGGGTTATGATCCTCAAGCCTTCAGATGAAATTGTATAATTTTCTTATTTATTGTAGGTCTACGCCCACAGCTCGTATGAGGTCATGAAAGTGGACAATAACTATGGCTATACCACGGAGAATCTTTACTATGAACCCTTTTCGCCGGAAATTACCACAGATCATAATTTCGAAACGTAAGTCTTTTTGTCTGCTGCTCTGGAAGAGATAAATATTTGAATTTCTGATATTTTTTCCAGAGGAGCCAGTGTCCGCCAGCGAAATTGCCGTTTTAGCCATGAGTCCAATCTCACCCATTTTCCGGTCTATACGAAAAATCTTTGCCTACAAGAGTGCCGTTTGAATTTGGTCTACAAGGTTTGCAAGTGTATACCACACTTCTATCCCAATCGACGTGAGTATAGACCAATTTACTCCTACCTATAAAGAAAGAGAGAGAGAGAGCAAAGGAAATTCTTTAATTTCTCTCTCTTTTTATACCCTCCACCATAGTATGGAGGGTATATTAATACCGATATTCGGCATTTTGATGATTTTAGCGACATTATTCACTCGATTTGTTTTAAATTTGGTATTTGAATTTCGTAATGGAGACTACAGCCTAAGACAGAAAATTGTTTGTGTAGGTCCACGTCTTCGCATAGCCCCCATATAACGGTACCTCCCGATATTCGGTACTTTGTTGATTTTAGCGACATCATTCACCGGAATTCTTTCAAATTTGGTATTTCAAGTTCGTAATGAAGACTACAGCCTAAGACAGAAAATTGTCTGTGCAGGTCCACGTCTTCGTATAGCCCCCATATAATGGTACCTCCCGATATTTGGTATTTTTATGATTTTAGCTACATTATTCACCGGAATTCTTTCAAATTTGATATTTGAAGTTCGCAATGAATGCTACAGTCTAAGACAGAAAATTGTCTGTGTAGGTCCACGTCTTCGTATAGCCCCCATATAAGGGTACCTCTCGATATTCTTTATTTTGATGATTTTAGCGGAACTGTTTACCAGAATTGTTTCAAATTTGGTATTTGATGTTCGTAATGGATGCTACAGCCTATGACAGGAGATTTTCTGTGCAGGTCCACGTCTTCGAAATAGCCCCCATATAACGGTACCTCCCGATATTCGGTATTTTGATGATTTTAGCAGCATTATTTACATGAATTGCTTCAAATTTGGCGTTTGAAGTTCGTAATGGATACTACTGCCAAAGACAGAAAAATGTCTGTGCAGGTCCACGTCTTCGTATAGCCCTCATATAACGGTACCTCCAGATATTCGGTATTTTGATCATTTTAGCGACATAGTTCACTGGAATTTTTTCAAATTTGGTATTTGAAGTTCGAAATGGATGCTACAGCCTATGACAGGAGATTGTCCGTGTAGGTCCACGTCTTCGTATAGCCCCCACATAAGGGTACCACCCGATATTCGGTATTTTGATGATTTTAGCGACATTATTCACCCGAATTGTTTTAAATTTGGTATTTGAAGTTCGTAATGGAGACTACAGCCTAAGAGAGAAAATTGTCTGTGTAGGTCCACGTATTCGTATAGCCCTCATATAAGGGTATCTCCCGATATTCGGTATTTTGTTGATTTTAGCGACATCATTCACCGGAATTCTTTCAAATTTGGTATTTCAAGTCCGTAATGGAGACTACAGCCTGAGACAGAAAATTGTCTGTGTAGGTCCACGTATTCGTATAGCCCTCATATAAGGGTATCTCCCGATATTCGGTATTTTGATGATCTAAGCTACATTATTCACCGGGATTCTTTCAAATTTGGCATTTGAAGTTCGAAATGGATAATACATCCTTTGGCTGAAAATTGTCTGTGCAGGTCCACGTCTTCGTATAGCCCCCATATAACGGTACCACCCGATATTTGGTATTTTGATGATTTTAGCGGCACTATTTACCGGAATTGTTTCAAATTTGGTAGTTGAAGTTCGAATTTGATACTACAGCCTACGACAGAAAATTATTTCCCGGAATTGTTTCAAATTTGGTATTTGATGTTCGTAATGGATACTACAGTTTAAGACAGAAAATTGTCAGTGCAGGTCCACGTATTCGTATAGCCCCCATATAACGTTACCTCCCGATTTTTGGTATTTTGATGATTTAAGCGGCATCATTCACCGGAATTATTTCAAATTTGGTATTTGGATTTCGCAATGGATACTACAGCCTATGACAGAAAATTGTCTGTGCAGGTTCACGTCTTCGTATAGCCCCCATATATCGGTACATCTCGATATTCGGTATTTTGATGATTTTAGCGGCATCATTCACCGGAATTCTTTAAAATTTGGCATTTGAAGTTTGTATTGGATACTACAGCCTAAGACAGAGAATTGTCTATGCAGGTCCAGATCTTCGCATAGCCCCGATATAATGGTATCTCCCGATATTCGGTATTTTGATGATTTTAACGAAATTATTCACCCGAATTGTTTCAAATTTGGTATTTGAAGTTCGTAATGGAGACTACAGCTTAAGGCAGAAAATTGTCTGTGCACGTCCATGTCTTCGTATAGCCCCCTTATAACGGTACCTCCCGATATTCGGTATTTTGAAGATTTTAGCTAGATTATTCCCCCGAATTCCTTTAAATTTGGTATTTGAAGTTCGTAATGGATACTACAACCTGTGGCTGAAAATTTTCTATGTAGGTTCTCGTCTACGTATAGCCCCCATATAACGTTACCTCCAGATATTCGGTATTTTGATGATTTTAGCGTCATTATTTGCCAGAATTTTTTCAAATTTGGTATTTGAAGTTCGAAATGGATACTACATCCTATGGCTGAAAATTGTCCAGGTAGGTTCACGTCTTCGTATAGCCCTCATATAAGGGTACCTCCCGATATTCGGTATTTTGATGATTTTAGCGGAATTTTTTACCGGAATTGTTTCAAATTTGGTATTTGAAGTTCGTAATGGAGACTACAGCCTAAGACAAAGCATTGTCTGTGCAGTTCCACGTCTTCGTATAGCCCTTATATAATGGTACCTCCCGATATTTTCTATATTGATGATTTTAGCGGCACTATTTACCGAAATTCTTTCAAATTTGGTATTTGAAGTTCGAAATGGATACTACAGCCTAAGACAGAAAATTGTCTGTGCAGGTCTACGTCTTCGTATAGCCCCCAAATAACGGTACCACCCGATATTTGGTATTTTGATGATTTTAGCGGAATTATTTACCGGAATTGTTTCAAATTTGGTATTTGAAGTTCGCAACGGATACTACAGCCTATGACAGAAAATTGTCTGTGCAGGTGCACGTCTTCTTATAGCCCCCATATAACGATACCCTCCGATATTCGATATTTTGATGATTTTAGGGTCATTTTTTGCCCGAATTGTTTTAAATTTGTTATCTGAAGTTCGTAAAGGAGACTACATCCTATGGCTAAAAATTGTCTGTGCAGATCCACGTCTTCGTATAGCCCCCTTATAACGGTACCTCCCGATATTCGGTATTTTGATAATTTTAGCGACAATATTCATCGGAATTGTCTCAAATTTGGTATTTGAAGTTTGTATTGGATACTACAGCTTTTGACAGAAAAATGTCTGCGCAGGTCCACGTATTCGTATAGCCCCAATATAACGGTACCTCCCGATTTTCGGTATTTTGATGATTTTAACGAAATTATTCACCCGAATTGTTTCAAATTTGGTATTTGAAGTTCGAAATGGATGCTACAGCCTATGACAGGAGATTGTCTGTGCAGGTCCACGTCTTCGTATAGCTCCCATATATCGGTACATCCCGATATTCGGTATTTTGATGATTTTAATGACATTATTGGTATGATCTACTTCACTTAAATTCCCAATATCGACTTTTTTGTTACGGGAGCCCTACTAAATACGCATAGTGATATAGGGTCTCATATAATCGGTCCCGCCCTATTTTTAACTTTCCTTACTGGTTTCTTATTTAAATTGCGATTTTTTCATAAGTTCCTTCTTCTATTTCCAGTTCGAAACCCCAAACCCGTTTGTGATTACAAAACCCTCAGAGAATGTATGCCGCAACATGAGTGTAAGTTCCGAAAAAAATCTCCCAATTATATGTTCTTCAAACACATCTTATCTCTCTTCGTAATACAGCCTATTTCCTGAAATTATATCGCGAACGACCCAACAGCAATAAATTGGATATGGCCCCATGCTACTGTGAGCAGAATTGCGTGGGTTCGGTGTTGAGTCTCAAAGTTTCGGTAAGTTGGAAATTTAAACAATTTGAAAATAATTTAATATAATTTGGTCGAACATTTCGAACGAAAATTTCAAATACATATAAATGCTCAAAAAATTATCTGAACCTTAAAAATGTATTCCCTATTTTCAGTTATACACCCGCTCGAAACAACTCTATGGCAGTTATGGTGCAACAATGACAGAAAAGGAATGGCCCACGGTGCGCTATAAAAGGGAGATTTATTTGACATTTACGGATTTAATGGGTTCGTATGGAAATGTTTTAAAAATATTGACGAAGATCTGAAAATATTTTTTTTTTAATTTTATTTCAGTTAACATCGGTGGCTCGGCTGGATTTTTCCTGGGATTCAGTGTCTTGGGCGCCATTGAGATTTTCTATTTTTTCACCATGCGTCTGCTGTTCCATTTGTTTGGCTATAAATTATAATTCCATTTTATATTGAAGTTGAAAACTAATAGCACTTTCTTCAGTAATAAATTTCTCTTTTTTATCCATAATAAGTAAAAAAGCTGTAAGTCGGGCCGGGTCGAACTTTGAATCCCCTCCACCATTTCGAAGGAATTTGGCAATTTTCAAAAACATTAAATCAGTTAAAAATTATTTTAAAATTTTAAAAATACCGAATGTAGCTGTTATATTAGGGTCTATACGACGACGTGGACCTGCAGAGGCAATTTTTGTCATAACCATTACAATATTCAAATGCGAAACTTGAAAAAAATTCGGTGAATAATGTCGCTAAAATCATCAAAATGTCTAATATCGGCAGGTTATATGGAGGCTATACGAAGACGTGAACCTGCACAGACAATTTTCTGTCTTAGGCTGTAGTATCCCTTACAAACTTCAAAAACCAAATTTGAAGCAATTCCGGTAAATAATGTCGATAAAATCATCAAAATACCGAATATCGGGAGGTACCGTTAAATGGGGGCTATACGAAGACATAGACATGCATGGAGAATTTTCTGTCATAGGCTGTAGTACTAATTGAGATCTTCAACTACGAAATTTAAAACAATTCCGGTGAATAATGTCGCTAAAATGATCCAAATACCGAATATCGGGAGGTACCGTTATATGGGGGCCATACCAAGACCTGGAGCTGCATAGACAATTCTCTGTCTTAGGCTGTAGTATCCATTTCGAACTTCAAATACCAAATTCGAAAGTATTCCGCTTAATAATGTCGCTAAAATAAATAAAGTACCGAATATCGGGAGGTACAGTTATATGGGGCCTATACGAAAACCTGGAGCAGCATAGACAATTTTCTGTCTTAGGCTGTAGTATCCCTTACAAACTTCAAAAACCAAATTTGAAGCAATTCTGCTAAAAGCTAAAATCATCAAAATACCGAATATTGGGTGGTACCGTTATATGGGGGCTATACGAAGACGTGGATCTACATAGCTCATTTTCTGTCTTAAGCTGTGGTATCCATTGCGAACTTCAAATACCAAATTTGAAACAATTTCGGTGAATAATTTTGCTAAAAACATCAAAATACCGAATATACGGAGGTACCGTTATATGGAGGCCATACGAAGACCTGGACCTGTATAGATAATTTTCTGTCACAGGCCGGAGTACCCATTATGAACTTCAAATATGAAATTCGAAACAATTCGGGTGAATAATTTCGGGAGGTAATACCGAATATCGGGAGGTACCGTTATATGGGGCTATACGAGGACGTGGACCTACATAGACAATTTTCAGCCACAGGATGTTGTATCCATTGCGAACTTTAAATACCAAATTTGAAATAATTCCTGTAAATAATGTCGCTAAAATCAACAAAGTACCGAATATCGGGAGGTACCATTATATGGGAGCTATATGAAGACGTGGACCTGCACAGACAATTTTCTGTCATAGGTTGTAGTATCCATTACGAACTTCAAATACCAAATTTGAAACATTTCTGGTGAATAATGTCGCTAAAATTATCAAAATACCGAATATCGGGAGGTACCGTTATATGGGTTCTATACCAAAACGTGGACCTACATGACCCATTTTCAATACCAAAAGTCCAGCAGATATAAATTATATTGGAGTAAAATTTTATCAATCTACTTCAATTTGTTCGGAAGCTAGATTGATTTCCACAGACGGGTAGACGGACGGACATCGCTAAATAGACATAGAATTTCAGGCTGATCAAGAATATATATACTTTTTGGGGTCTAAAATGTATATTTCGAGGTGTTACAAACGGAATGACAAACCTAATATACCTTCCATACTATGGTGGAGGGTATAAAAATATTTCTTGGAGCAATAGATATGCCGGACCTAGTTTCTCCAAAATGGTAAAACTCGGTTGAATATGAAAAAATCTATTAAATTTGGGCTGAGATTATTTAACTGGTGAGCAATAACCTTAAAATCGGAAGAAGATGCATATCGAAGCTATATAAATCTGAACCGATCTTGACAAAATTTGGCAGAGGTATTTTCGAGCAGTAGCTGGTGCCCGGTATGAAATATCATTGTTGTGGAGTGCATATTATGCATGTGAGGGACATAAAACTCCAAATCGGTTGAAACATATATATGGGAGCTATAGCTATATCTGAACCGATTTTCATTTTAATGTACTTGCTTCTTGATTGAATTCGGTTGGATGTGGCAAAATTCAAGTCATTTGGACTGATATCGGTCATTTGGTGCACAATAAACCCCAAATCGGTTGAAGATATATATGGGAGCTATATAAGTTTTCAAAATAAGTTTTCAAAATTTGGTCAAGATCGGTACAGATTTGGATATAGCTCCTATATATGAGCTATATCCAAATCTGAACCGATCTTGACCAAGTTTTGTAAACTTATTTCTGAACTGTAAATGATATCTGGTACCAAAGATCATTGTTGTGGCGTCCATATTACGCATGTGAGGGACTTAAAACCCCAAATTGGATGAACCATATATATTGGAGCTATAGCTATAATCGGAAATTTGATGTACTTATTTTTAGACTGAATTCGGAAGCCAAAATTCAGGTCATTTTAGGTGATATTAGCCATTTGGTGAACAATTAACCCAAAATCGGTTGAAGGTATCCATGGGAGCTATATCTTAATTTGAACCGATTCTCATCAATTTCAATAGGGTTCGTCCTTGGGCCAAACAAATATTCTTTAGAAAATTTCATCTCAATCGGATAATAAATATGACCTGTACTTTTTTCACAAGAATACATGGACAGACGGACTGACATGCATAAATCGACTCGGAAAGTGATTCTATGAAGATCCTCAAAAGTAACTATGGGTCTAACTCGCCTCCTTCTCCATGTTACAGACAAATGCAGAAAGTCATAATACCCTGACCACCTTGTGGTGTAGGGTATAAAATTAGGATTAGTGAGAGGTCTGGTTTTTAAGCAGCGCTGTTTATAAGAGTCGTGTATACGAGCATCCACAGTTGTCGCTGTCCAAAACAGAGATCATTTAAGGAGAAAACGAAATTTCTGTTTTTCTTTATTTATTTAAGGATTGTGTTGATGATTTAAAAGACTTGAGAGAAATTAGACTGGCGAGAGAGCTCTTGTTCTTGAATAGCTCTAGCCTATAAAGTTCTCTTTACCACAAAAGAGTATTGTTTTACGTCGTGAGAGTTCTAAAGTTCCCTCAGCTCTTATTATACCCTCCACCATAGTATGGAGGGTATATTAAGTTTGTCATTCCGTTTGTAATACCTCGAAGTATACATTTTAGACCCCACAAAGTATATATATTCTTGATCAGCATAAAATCCTATGTCGATTTATGGATGTCCGTCCTTCTGCCCGTCTTTGGAAATCACTTTAGCTTCCGAACGAAATGAAGTACGTTGATAGATTTCTACTCAAATGTGTATTATGTCTGCAGGACTTTTGGTATTGAAAATGGGCCATGTAGGTCCACGTCTTCGTAGAGCCCCCATATAACGGTACCTGCCGATATGCGGTATTTTGATGATTTTATGGACATTTTTTCAACAGAATTATTTCAAATTTGGTATTTGAAGTTCGTAATGAATACTACAGCCCATGACAGAAAATTGTCTGTGCAGGTTCACGTCTTCGTATAGCCCCCATAGAAGGGTACCCCCTGATATTCGGAATTTTGATGATTTTAGCGACATTATTTACCGGAACTATTTCAAAGTTGGTATTTGAAGTTCGTAATGGATACTACAGCCCATGACAGAAAATTGTCTGTGCAGGTTCACGTCTTCGTATAGCCCCCATAGAAGGGTACCCCCTCATATTCGGTATTTTGATGACTTAAGTTACATTATTTACCGGAATTGTTTCAAAATTGGTATTTCAAGTTCATAATGGATACTACATCCTTAGACAGAAAATGAGCCACGTCTTTGTATAGCCCCCATATAACGGTACCTGCCGATATGCGGTATTTTGATGATTTTATGGACATTTTTTCAACAGAATTATTTCAAATTTGGTATTTGAAGTTCGTAATGAATACTACAGCCCATGACAGAAAATTGTCTGTGCAGGTTCACGTCTTCGTATAGCCCCCATAGAAGGGTACCCCCTGATATTCGGAATTTTGATGATTTTAGCGACATTATTTACCGGAACTATTTCAAAGTTGGTATTTGAAGTTCGTAATGGATACTACAGCCCATGACAGAAAATTGTCTGTGCAGGTTCACGTCTTCGTATAGCCCCCATAGAAGGGTACCCCCTCATATTCGGTATTTTGATGACTTAAGTTACATTATTTACCGGAATTGTTTCAAAATTGGTATTTCAAGTTCATAATGGATACTACATCCTTAGACAGAAAATGAGCCACGTCTTTGTATAGCCCCCATATAACGGTACCCCCCGATATTCGGTATTTTGATGATTTTAGCGACATTATTTACCGGAACTATTTCAAATTTGGTATTTGAAGTTCGTAATGGATACTACAGGCCATGACAGAAAATTGTCTGTGCAGGTTCACGTCTTCGAATAGCTCTCATATAAAGGTACCTCCCGATATTCGGTATTTTAATGATTTTAGCGACATTATTTACCGGAATTGTTTCAAATTTCGCATTTGAAGTTCGTAATGGATACTACAGCCTCTGACAGAAAAGTATCTGTGCAGGTCCACGCCTTCGTACAGCCCCCATATATCGGTACCTCCCGATATGCGGTATTTTGATGATTTTAGCGACATTGTTTACCGGAATTGTTTCAAATTTGGTGTTTGAAGTTCGTAATGGATACTACATCCTATGACAGAAAATTTTTTGTGTAGGTCCACGCCTTCGTATAGCCCCCATATAGCGGTACCTCCCGATATTCGGTATTTTGATGATTTTAGCGACATTATTCACCATAGTAGTTTCAAATTACGTATTTAGAGTTCGTAATGGGATCTACAGTCTGTGACAGAAAATTGCCTATGCAGGTCCAGGTCTTCGAATAGCCCTCATATAACGGCACCTTCCATGTTTGGTATTTTGATGATTTTAGCGACATTATTTACCGGAATTGTTTCAAATTTCGCATTTGAAGTTCGTAATGGATACTACAGCCTCTGATAGAAAAGTATCTGTGCAGGTCCACATTTTGGCATAGCCCCCATATAATAGCTCCTCCCTATATTAATGATTTTAACTATATTATTCACCGATTTTTTTTTTCAAGTTTCGCATTTGGATATTGTAATAGCTTATGACAAAATTTGCCTATGCAGGTCCACTTCGTCGTATAGACCCTAATATAACAGCTACATTCGATATTTTTAAGATTTTAACAGATTTTTTTAACGGATTTTATTTTTTTGCCAAAATTGTCTAATTCGTTCCAAATGGTGAAGGGTATTCAAAGCTCGGCCCGGCCGAATTTGCGGTTTTTTAGTTGTTTTCTTTTTTTCTTTTTTTGATTTTGTTTTCTTGTAAGTAAAGTGGGGGTTCCAACATTCTCTTTACTATAGAGAGTATTTCGTGACAGTGTTGAAGTGGATTGGGGTCTGAAAGTTCCTTTTACACTAATGTGTTCGTGTGTATTTTGGAAGAGTGTATAGGTATCGTAAACGCTGTCAATTTTCCTGCCATCGATCTGTCGTCATCCAAACCCAGATATAGTCATCAACTCGGGCTACATGTCATCACCAACCATCATATTGTGGGACTCACCATTCCTCCAGGCACCCGTTGGACCTACCCCGAGAAAATATGTCGTCACAACTTTTCATAAAACTAGTTATATCAGCAATTCTAAAAAAAAGCCAATTGATATATTCCTTAGCCGCGATGAAATCATGATATTGCCAACACTCGCCAAGTACAGGAAAGCTATCTACTCAGTTTTTTTTTTTTTTTTTTTTTTTTTTTTTTGTTATAAATAAAACACCTTTGATTTAATTTGTTTTAGTTTTCAAAAAAAAAATAGTTTTCAATTTTATTTTCGTTTTTATTAGTAGTGCCTCTGTTTTATGTAATGTTTTTTTTATAATTTTTTATGTAATTATTTTTTTGTTTTTAATTTTTGTTTTAATTTAATATGTCTTCATTCAAGAATACAAAATAATTTCTTAGCTTAGGTTTTTTTTGTATTTTTCATTTTTTTTCTCTTCATAAAAAAAAAAACATTTTAACTATTCGATTGGTCGCATTAAATTATTATAAAAAAATAAACGTCATAAAATTAACTTACATTTAGAATTTTTTTATTATTAAATTACAAAATTTTTGCTCTCTCTCTTCGTCCGGCTTGCTTGTGAACACTTAGAATTTTCTCAGAGGGTGTTGGGGGGGAGAGAAGTTTAATTTTTATAGAATGGCTCTCGAACTCTCACTTGACATCTATAGTTATTGGGAAGCAGATACTGAACGAATGAATAAAGGAAGTTGATTTTGTAGGAGAGGAGAGTAATGGAGAATAGTTATATGCTCTCTTCTCTTCTTATGGTCTCCACTTCTTTTGCAGAAAATAGCTAGTGTCTGAATACCCGAAAAATCTTAGACAGTTTAGGAAAAATTTTTGTGAGAAGTGTTTTTCGAATGAAAATTTCAGCAACTGCCATTAAAACCTTATGGAAATGATTATTTTTCTCTCCCCACTATCTCTTCCTCTCTCTCTCTTTCTTTCTCACTTTCCTACTTAATTACAAGAGTAACAACATTTTTGCTTATAATACTCATAGCTGCATAGTTTGGCCTTGACGGCCCACGCACAATTGCTGAAGACATCGGTACAGGGTAAAATAATGGCATCGTCGTTCTGTAGCTGTTCATAGCGGAGATCTGGAAAGAAAGAAGAAATTGTCATTCTTGAAAAAATTGCAAAAAAAACAAAAATATTTTCTCATATAATATTTTTCAGGGCCTCTTCCAAAATAATTTGAAAAAAAAAATATACTACCAATATTCAAAAGAGTAAACATCTTGATTTGATTTTAAAATATTTATATCTTAAAAATTGGGATTCTGAAATATTGAAAACCATATTTTTTATAAAAATTTTAGGATACAAAAGCCCCTTAAAAAAATAATGTGGGATGTCCTAAAAATACCTTATAAAATAATTGATAATATAGAACAACTAACAATTCCTGTATTGAATTTTTTTTTGAAAAAAGAAAAAACAGTCAAACCAGAATTCATTAGATTTTGAAATAGTATTCATTAAAAAAAAAAACAATTTTTTGTTTGAAGGTTTTGATAAAAAAACCACGATTGAAAGAAGGAAGTATTCATAAAATTTTGAAAATAATATTTTTTTTTTTAAATCAAATAAATTTTCTTAGAACTGCGTATTATGGAATCTTGGAATATATGTATTAAAAAAATTCTCATTTTAAAAAAAATATTTCAAATATTCTTGCAAAAATATTTTTTTTTAAAAAATCAACTTTGAGAAAGACTTGATAAAAATTAAAAGAAAAATCTGTATTTAATTCAGTTTTAGAAAAACGTGAAAAAAAAAATTTAAAAAATTCATACTCAAAAAATATTCTATTATATTATAATAATATATTTTGAAAAAAAAGTTCTAGAAATAAACTATAAAACAAAGCATATTATGAATGCAAGTTGCAGAGAATCTTAAAAGAAAATATTTCTTAAAAACCCGCGTTTCCCAGAACATAAGAAATATTTAAAAAAAAATCTAAAAAAATTAATATTCACATTTCAGAGTGTCTTGGAAAATATATTAAAAAAAATTCACTTAAAAAAAACAGAAAATATTTTTAAAATCTAGTTTTAGAAAGACAGCAAGAAAAACTTACAATATACTAAAATAATCCGTATTTAAAAAATATTCAAATTTTTAGGAGATTTTCTTTAAAAATGAAGTTTTAGAAATAAACAATAAAACAAAGAATCTCGTATCCAAGTAGCATGTTTTTTGAAGGCTTTGAAAAAAACAACGATTGAAAGAAGGAAGTATTCATAAAAGTTTTGAAAGTAATACATATATTTTTTTTTAAATCACCATGTCAGAGAATCCTAAAAAATATATATATTTTTTTAAAAAATCAAGTTTTAGAGAAACTTTAGACCCAGTAAAACTTGAAAAACATTTCAAAAAATCGTATTTAAAAAAAAAATATTTAGAAAATCCTGCACAAATATATTTTTATAAAACAGAGAATATTGTGAATGAACGTTGCAGAGAATCTTTGAAAAATATTTTTTAAAAATCCGCGTTTCCGAAAACCTGAAAAAATATTTTCAAGAAATCCACGTTTTTGAAAGTGTTGAAAAAATATTTTTTTTAAATCAAAATAATTTTGTTTATATATCTTGGAAAACATATTTAAAAAAATTGACTTTTTTTCACAACTGTTAACGAAAAATTTATAAAGATCAAAGTTTTTCTCATATGTATGTGAAAAAAATATATAAAAAAATTCTCTCTAAAATACTATGTTTTATATAAAAAAATTAAAAATATTAAAAAAAAAAATCCAAGGTTTTTTTTCGCAAATATGAATAAAAAAATTATTTCAAAAACTAGCGTTTCAGAAAATCTTGTAAAATTATTATTTATTTTTTTTTTTAAATATCCATGTTTCAAATTTTATTGAAATGATATTTTTAAATAATGGACATCTCACAGAGTCTTGGAATAGTGTTAAAAATAATCAAAAAAAAAAAAAAAAAAAAAAAAAAAAAAAAAAAAAAAAAAATATTAAAAAAAAAAAATATTTTCAAAAAATCCATTTTTCGAACATTTTCTATAAAATTGATATCGAAAATATTTTAAAAAGTTTCTTCAACTGATGGTCGTTGAATAAAATATTTTTAAGAAATCCACCTTTCTTCAACTGATGGTCGTTAAAAAAAAATTTCTGAAAAATCCACGTTTCTTCACCTAATGGTCCTTGAAAAAAATATTTTTAAAAAATCCAAGTCCTTGAAAAAACATCTAAACTAAAAAAATATAATTTAAATAAAATATATTAAAAAATACTTCTTTCACAACTGTTTTTCCAGATATGTGAAAAGAAATATTTTAAAAAATTCTCCTTGTATTACAAATGTGAAAAAAAAAATATTTTAAAAAATTCAAGTTTTTCACAAATCTGATTTTTTTTTTAATCCATTGTTCCTATTCTATTGAAATTATATTTTTTTTATATTTTGGAAAACGGTTAAAAAATTAACAAAAAAAAAATATTAAAAAATTATTCCAAAAAAATATTGTTAAAAAGTCTATTGTGAAAGAAAATAGTGAAAAATTAAGCAAAGAAAGTATAAAAATAAATTCACAACTGAAAACTTTTTTTAAAAAAATAAATATATGTATCGAAAATATTTTAAAAAGTATAAAATTTAAATAAAATTAAAAAAGGGTTTTTTTTAATTTATATTTTTCAAATTTTTCGATATCAATTTTTTTGGAAAATGTTTTCAATTGTGTGTGTATTCTCTTTTTAATATTTTATTATTTTCTCCCAAAAATGGACTTTTCAAAAATATTTATTTTTAAAACTTTTCGAAGATTCTATGAGATGTCGATTATTTAAAACTATTTCAATAAAATTTTCAAAAAAAAAAAAATATTTATAGTTCACATTTGTGAAAAAAAAACAAGTTAAAAAGCTGTAAGTTCGGCCGGACCGAACTTTGAATACCCTCCACCATTTGGTACAAATTTAACAATTTTCAAAAAAATAAAATCCGTTAAAAATTCTGTTAAAATCTTAAAAATACCGAATGTAGCCGTATATTAGGGTCTATACGACGACGTGGACCTGCATAGGCAACTTTTGTCATAAGCCATTTCAATATTCAAACTTAAAAAAAATCGGTGAATAATGAAGCTAAAATCATCAAAATACCGAATATAGGGAGCTACCGTTATATGGGGAAGACGTGGACCTGCATACAAAAATGTTTGTCATTACGAACTTAAAATACCAAAATTGAAACAATTCCGGTGAATAATGTCGCTAAAATCATCAAAACACCGAATATCGGGAGGTACCCTTATAGGGGGGGCTATACGAAGACGTGGACCTGCACAGAAAATTTTTTAGGCTGTAGTATTCATCCGAACTTCAAATACCAAATTTGAAATAACTCCGGTGAATAATGTCGCTAAAATCATCAAAACACCGAATATCGGGAGGTACCCTTATATGGGGGCTATACGAAGACGTGGACCTGCACAGACAATTTTCCGTGATAGGCTGTAGCATCCATTACGAACTTCAAATACGAAATTTGAAATAGTTCCGGTGCATAATGTCGCTAAAATCATCAAAATACCGAATATAGGGAGGTACCATGAGGGTTAAAAAAACGTGAACCAGCACAGACAATCTCCTGTCATAGGCTGTAGTATCCATTACGAACTTCAAATACCAAATTTGAAACAATTACGGTGAAAAATGTCGCTTAAATCATTAAAATACCGAATATCGGAAGGTATCGTTATATGGGGGCCATATCAAAACGAGGACCTAGACAGACAATTTTCTGTCATAGGCTGTAGTATCCATTACGAACTTCAAATACCCACATTTTAAACAACTTCGGTTAATAATGTCGTTAAAATTATAAAAAATTCCGAATATCGGGAGATACCGTTATATGAGGGCTATAAGAAGACCTGCACAGATAATTTTCTGTAATAGGCTGTAGTATTCATTACGAACTTCAAATACCAAATTTGGAACAATTCCGGTGAATGAATTCCCTAAAATCATCAAAATACCGAATATCTGGAGGTACTGTTATATGGGGGCTATACGAATACGTGTACCTGCACAGACAATCTCCTGTCATAGGCTGTAGCGTCCATTACGAACTTCCAATTCTAAATTTGAAACAATTCCGCTGAATAATGTCGCTAATATCATCAAAATACCGAATATCGGAAGGTACCCTTATATGGGGGCTGTACGAAGACGTGGACCTATATAGCCCATTTTTAATACCAAAAGTCCTGCAGACATAATACACATTTGAGTAAATTTTTATCAACTTACTTCACTTCGTTCGGAAGCTAGAGTGATTTCCACGGACGGATAGACGGACGGACATCAACATAGAATTTTATGCTGATCAAAATTATATATACTTTGTAGGGTCTAAAATGCCTATTTCGAGGTGTTACAAACGGAATGACGAACTTAATATACCCTCCCTACTATGGTGGAGGGTAAAAAAATATTTAAAAATCCTGGAATCAAGGCTTTACAACCCTATCCAAAATTAATTCAAACCCTATCCAAAATTAATTTTAAAATTTAAAAAATTAAAAAAAAAATATTTAAGTATCCTGGATTTAAGGCTGTTTAATATTATCCAAGAAAAATCGAAAATCTACATTAAAAATTTTTAAAATATCCGCGTTTTGGAGCCATTTAAAAAATAATTTTAAAAATTCCCTGTTTCAGAGGCCCTTGAAAAATAGTCATTTAAAAATCTCTATCCATATTTCAAAGGCTCTTAAAAAAATCGGAGACTCCATTACCTTCACATTTGTGTGTGTTACAGCTTCTGTAAATTGGCTCCCTGATGGAATAGCGACACTTGTTCGATTCCTTGAGGGCATTTTCCTGTTCGCTGTATTCCAAGCATTTGACCGAACGCCGTTGGGTGCCACCATCACAGGTTTTGGTGCACTACAGAAAAAAATCGATATTAATTAAAATCTCAAAATTATTCAAAAATTCCTCCCCTCACCTCTGACCACTCCGAGTAATGCCATCTGGGTCCGCAATATTCCACTTCTTCGTGAGAACATTTCTCCACTGTGGTGGGTTTCAATTCCGCCTTGCAATCCTCATCTTCCAATATCAGTTGATTCTCAATACACAAGACCTGTCGAGTCCTGGTCAAATTGAAACAATTGCCGTTGCAGGGTGACCAGGGGCCGGCAAACCATTCGCCTGTATCGCACGACTCTTCACGATCACAAATTCTTGTCGTTTCGGGAGCATTGCGCACATCACATCGATCGGGATTGGATTTGGTGCGATCACAGTAAATGGTACGATATTCGGTACCGGGTCCGCAGTCCGAAGAGCAATATTGATTCCAATCCGACATTAGCCATACGCCAGCCTTATCGCGATTATTTTTATTTCCAGTGTGTGACGAATTGGGACTGAGGCCATGAATGCGATAGCGGACATTATTGCTGCGTCGTCGATTTTTGGGACAGTCACAGGGCTTTTTGGCCACAGGTTTCTCTTCCATACAGGCGGCCGCATCAACATGCACCACCACGCCGGAGGCTAATTCTTGGACACAATTTATCTCCCGCTCCCTCACACCACCCTCACCCTGATGACAGCGACATTCACCCCAATCTTCCAGACGCCAAAATGCCGGACATGGCTGGGTGTTGCATCTCAGAAGATTTTCATTGATCATGGGTTTTTCCGAATGAGCACATCGCCGCTGAGAATAGTAGCGCAGGGGATTTTCCCGCACGCATTTAATTATGGGCGACTGCATGCCACCTCCGCATGATTTGGAACAAGCACTGAAACCTACAACCTTCCAATTGTAACGGCGCTTCCTTAGCGGCCTATTGGCATTGATTATGGCCTCATCATTGGCCGACTTCAAAAAACCATCGGTTTCCACCGAAACTTCATTCTCCTCCGAATCTGAGGTAATGGGCAGGAGGTACTCATATTTAATGCCAGGATTAACGGTTTTACTGTAGATCTGAAAAAGAAAATCGAATTTGAAAAAATTTTTAAATTTTCCCCACCCTCTCCCTCTTGTACTCACCATTAATTCCAAACTCTCTCTAATGGGTCCGGTGCATGTGACCCATTCCGTTACGCCCTCACTTTGTTCCTGCAGACTATCCAAACGATGATAATCGAAGACGGCACCAGCTGCCTCATAGACCCCACTATCGGACATGGTATTGTCACCGTTGAAAACATATTTCTGGTCTTCGGTTCGTAGCACTAAAAAATGCGAGAGAGTGAGAGAGAGAGGAAAGGAGAGAATAGTTCGGAAAGTCAGTATCAACCTCAAAAAATATATTTTTTTACTTTTCCAAATCACTTCGAACTCACCCAACAAATTCATGCTATTCTTCAATTCCGTAATGGAAATATTCGAAGCTCCAGCTGGTATTATGGCCACATGGATGTAGGCATCTTCAGGCAATGGGTCGCGAGTATAGAGGCCAGTCAGAGGACGACACAAGAGGCCACCGCAGGCAACAGCTCCACTGTTGGCCGAGAGACCGGTGACAATACCACCGGCATGAATTGCCTGAAATGAGAGGAGAGAGAAATGAGAATTAATAAATGGAAATAAAAAACTGAGAGCACAAAAGAGAGACTCTCTCAAATCAAAAGAGAGAAAAATAAACAACTGGAAGAAGAAGATCGTTAGCTCCTCTATAGAAGAAGACAAGTTGGTCTTCAATAGAAGAAGAAGAAGACCACTTGGTCTTCTATAGAAGAAGACCCGTTAGTCTTCTATAGAAGAAGACCCGTCGGTCTTCTATAGAAGAAGACCATTTGGTCTTTTATAGAGGAATACCCTTTGGTCTTCCATAGAAGAAGACCATTTGGTCTTCTGTAGAAGCAGACCATTTGGTCTTCTGTAGAAGAAGACCCATTGGTCTTCTGTAGATGAAGACCCATTGGTCTTCTGTAGAAGAAGACCCATTGGTCTTCTATAGGAGAAGACCATTAGGTCTTCTATAGCAGAAGACCATTAGGTCTTCTATAGCAGAAGACCATTAGGTCTTCTATAGCAGAAGACCATTAGGTCTTTTATAGCAGAAGACCATTAGGTCTTCTATGGCAGAAGACCATTAGGTCTTCTCTGGCAGAAGACCATTAGGTCTTCTATAGAAGAAGACCCATTGGTCCAAGAAGAAGACCACTTGGTCTTCTATAGAAGAAGACCACTTGGTCTTCTATAGAAGAAGACCCATTGGTCTTCTATGGAAGAAGACCCATTGGTCTTCTATGGAAGAAGACCCATTGGTCTTCTATGGAAGAAGACCCATTGGTCTTCTATGGAAGAAGACCCATTGGTCTTCTATGGAAGAAGACCCATTGGTCTTCTATGGAAGAAGGCCCATTGGTCTTCTATGGAAGAAGGCCCATTGGTCTTCTATGGAAGAAGACCAACTGGTCTTCTATAGAAGAAGACCCATTGGTCTTCTATGGAAGAAGACCCATTGGTCTTCTATGGAAGAAGACCCATTGGTCTTCTATGGAAGAAGACCCATTGGTCTTCTATAGAAGAAGACCCATTGGTCTTCTATAGAAGAAGACCCATTGGTCTTCTATAGAAGAAGACCCATTGGTCTTCTATAGAAGATGACCCAATGGTCTTCTATAGAAGAAGACCCGTTGGTCTTCTATAGAAAAAGACCCATTGGTCTTCTATTGAAGAAGACCCGTTGGTCTTCTATAGAAGAATACCCATTGGTCTTCTATAGAAGAAGACCCATTGGTCTTCTATAGAAGAAGACCAAATAGGCTTCTATAGCAGAAGACCAACTGGTATTCTATAGCAGAAGACCAACTGGTATTCTATAGCAGAAGACCAACTGGTCTTCTATAGAAGAAGACCAACTGGTCTTCTGTAGAAGAAGACCACTTGGTCTTCTGTAGAAGAAGACCACTTGGTCTTCTGTAGAAGAAGACCACTTGGTCTTCTGTAGAAGAAGACCACTTGGTCTTATGTAGAAGAAGACCACTTGGTCTTCTGTAGAAGAAGACCACTTGGTTTTCTGTAGAAGAAGACCACTTGGTCTTCTGTAGAAGAAGACCACTTGGTCTTCTGCAGAAGAAGACCACTTGGTCTTCTGTAGAAGAAGACCACTTGGTCTTCTGTAGAAGAAGACCACTTGGTCTTCTGTAGAAGAAGACCACTTGGTCTTCTGTAGAAGAAGACCACTTGGTCTTCTGTAGAAGAAGACCACTTGGTCTTCTGTAGAAGAAGACCACTTGGTCTTCCGTAGAAGAAGACCACTTGGTCTTCCGTAGAAGAAGACCACTTGGTCTTCCGTAGAAGAAGACCACTTGGTCTTCTATAGAAGAAGACCAAGTGGTCTTCTTCTATAGAAGACCAAGTGGTCTTCTTCTATAGAAGACCAAGTGGTCTTCTATAGAAGAAGACCACTTGGTCTTCTATAGAAGAAGACCACTTGGTCTTCTTCTATAGAAGACCAAGTGGTCTTCTATAGAAGAAGACCACTTGGTCTTCTATAGAAGAAGACCACTTGGTCTTCTATAGAAGAAGACCAGTTGGTCTTCTATAGAAGAAGACCAGTTGCTCTTCTATAGAAGAAGATAATTTGGTCTTCTATAGAAGAAGACTACTTGGACTGCTCTGCTCCTCTTCTATTGAGCAGTTAGCCAGCTGCTGCTGATCTTCTATTGAAGATGAGCAGCTAGCCAGCTGCCAGCTGCTGCTGATCTTCTATTGAAGATGAGCAGCTAGCCAGCTGCAGCTGATCTCTATTAAAGATGAGCAGCTGGCCAGCTGCTGCTGCTGCTCTTCTATCGAAGATGATCAGCTGGCCAGCTGCTGCTGCTGCTCTTCTATAGAAGATGAGCAGCTAGCCAGCTTCTGCTGCTCTTCTATTGAAGACGAGCAGCTAGCCAGCTGCTCTTCCATCGAAGATGAGCAGCTGGCCAGATTTTGCTCTTCTATGGAAGATGAGCAGCTTGCCAGCAGCTGCTCTTCTATCGAAGATGATCGGCTTTCTAGCTGCTTCTCTTCTCTGAAAGACTTAAGTATTTTTTCTTTACTTAAACTGTTAGTATATTTTTTTCTATTTTTTTGATTTTAATTTTATTTTTTTTTAATTTTTTATTTAATTTATTTTTTTAATTTTTTTACTTACCAAAACCAGCAACAAAAATTTATTTAACATTTCGTTGTTATTTATTCGTTTAATTATTCATGAATTTTTATTTTTCAGTTCAAAATTATTTTTAAATTTGTATTTTTTTTATTTTTTCCAATTTATTTTTTATTTATCTCCCAAAATTCTGCCCTTCAATTAAAACAAAAACATTGCGTTTTTTATAATTTATTTCAATATTAATTTAATATAAATCAATTTATGTCATTTAACATTGATGTCTAAACAAAAGGGCCAAGTCGAATGCCTTGGCTTATCTCAATGTCTGATCTTGACAAACAAATTTACATATCTCACCTAATTTCGATAAGAAATCGAATTAAAAGATTAGGAGACGTTAATCGTTTCTAAATGTTGTGAATATGTTTTTTTTTTTTATTGAAATTAATTATGTTGGGGGTTTGTCGATGAGGTGATAATGAAGTAAACTCGTAGCTAATCAAATTGTAGTAAATCAAGAGGGTCATGTGAATGAATATGGCGAGGGGGAGGGGTATAAGGTCTCCCGTACTGAATTGTGATTATGCTGGTGGGGGTAACAGAGAGGAGGACAGTGTCGATGTTTAAGTGTAAAATAATTCCGTTTTTATAAAAAAAAAAAATAAATAAAAAACGGAATCATAAACATTGAAAAAAAATTTTTTTTAAATCCTCTCCTCTGGAGGTCAAAAAAATTTTTTCTTTAAAAAATCAATCCATAGCTCTAATGGTCCACAAAAAGTATTTTTAAAAAAAATCCACTCCTCTGGTGGTCCAAAAAATATTCTTTAAAAAATCAATCCGTGGCTCTATTGGTCCATAAAAATATTTAAAAAAATCCACTCCTCTGGTGGTCCAAAAAAAATTATTTTCTTAAGAATCAATCCATCGCTCAATTGTTCCATAAAAAATATTTTAAAAAAAAATTCACTCCTCTGGGGGTCCAAAAAATATTTTTTAAAAAAATCCACTCCTCTGGTGGTCCAAAAAAATATTCTTACAAAATATCCATTCTCCTGGAGCTTAATAAACAATATTATTTTAAAAATCCACGGCTCTGATGATCCATGGAAAAATATTTTTTTAAAAATCCACGGCTCAGATGTTCCATGAAAAAATATATTTTTTTTAAATCCACGGCTCAGAAGATCCTTGAAAAAATATTTTTTTAATATCCACGGCTCAGAAGATCCATGAAAAAATATTTTTTTAATGTCCACGCCTTAGGTGGTCAATGAAAAAATATTCTTTTTAAAATCCACGGCTCTGATGGTCTTTGGAAAAAATATTTTTTTAAAAATCCACGGCTCTGATGATCCATGAAAAAATATTTTTTTAAATATCCACGGCTCTGATGATCCATTAAAAAATATATTTTTTTAAATATCCACGCCTTAGTTGGTCAATAAAAAAATATTTTTTTAAATATCCACGCCTTAGGTGGTCAATAAAAAAATATTTTTTTAAATATCCACGCCTTAGGTGGTCAATGAAAAAATATTTTTTTTAAATATCCACGCCTTAGGTGGTCAATGAAAAAATATTTTTTTAAATATCCACGCCTTAGGTGGTCAATGAAAAAATATTATTTTAAATATCCACGCCTCTGTTGGTCTTTGAAAAAAATATTATTTTAAAAATCCACGGCTCTGATGGTCTTTGGAAAAAATATTTTTTTAAATATTAAAAAAATATTTTTTTAAAGAATCAATCCATGGCTCTATTGAAATATTTTTAATAAAATCCACTCCTGTGGTGGTCCAAAAAATATTTTTAAAAAAAAAATCCACTCCTCTAGTGGTCCAAAAAATATTCTTACAAAATGTCCATTCTCATGGAGGTCAATAAAAAATATTATTTTAAAAATCTACGGCTCAGATGATCTATGAAAAAATATTTTTTTGAAAATCCACGGCTCTGATGATCCATGAAAAAATATTTTTTAAATATCCACGGCCCTGATGAACCATGAAAAAATATTTTTTTAAAAATATTTTTTAAAAATATTTTTTAAAAATGATATTTTTTTAAAAATATTTTTTTTAAAAATCCACGGCTCTGATGATCCATGAAAAAATATTTTTTTAAAAATCCACGGCTCAGATGTTCCATGAAAAAATATATATTTTTTTTTTAAATCCACGGCTCAGAAGATCCGTGAAAAAATATTTTTTTAATATCCACGCCTCAGGTAGTCAATGAAAAAATATTCTTTAAAAAATACAGGGCTCTGATGATTAATGAAAAAATATTTTTTTAAATATCCACGGCTCTGATGATCCATTAAAAATATTTTTTTAAATATCCACGGCTCTGATGATCCATTAAAAAATATATTTTTTTAAATATCCACGCCTTAGTTGGTCAATAAAAAAATATTTTTTTAAATATCCACGCCTTA